CTGAAGGCATAAATGAGCGGCTTATGGTCGGTTTTAATAACGAAAATGCGAGCGTTCAATAAATGCTTGAAGTGCTTAACCGCTTCGTAAATAGCAAAAAGCTCGCGGTCGTAAGTGCTGTAATTTTTTCGGCATTTTTAAATTTTTTTGAGAAAAATCGCAAAGTGTCCCAAGAACCATTTACCTTCTGCTCAAGCGCTGCACCAATCGCAACATCCGAGGCGTTGCATACCAATGCAAGCTCAGCCTTGGGGGAAGGAAACGATAACAAAGTTGCGGCCATAATACTGCGGTGCTAGTATGTGAGAGCAGTTTGGCAAACAACGCCTGTAATAATTTATAATTCCCAGAAAACGTCCAAGTTCGCTTATTGTTGACGGTTGTGTGTAGTTTGTAATGACATCTATGCGATCTGTGGGTGGCTTTATGCCCTCTTTATTAATCACATAGCTCAAAAATCGAATTTCTTCTTGAGCAATTTGACACCTGCTATCATTGATGCACAACCCATGTTGGCTCGTCTGCACTTGTAGATGTTATTAGAATATCATCAATATAACAGAATACAAAATCAAGGCCTCGAAATATACTGTCCATAAATCTCTGGAACGTTTGAGTTGCATTTTTTAGCCCAAAAGGCATGAAAAGAAATTCGATGAGTCCAAATGATGTAGAAATTGCTGTCTTTTTCACATCACATTCAGCCATAGGTATTTGATAATACGCCTTGACCAGGTCCAATGTCGTAAAAATTGTTTCCCCAAATAGCTGCTCTGCAAAATCATGTATATGAGCAATTGGATATCGATCTGGTACCATAATTGCATTAAGCTTTCGGTAGTCTACACGTCTCCACGTCAGCTATAATAAACGACCAGCTGAATTTACGACGTAGTCCTATGTCTATTTCATATATATAGTTCCCGTAGGTGTTAATTAATGTTTGGTTTGCAGCGTAAAGTACCATATTATTCTGACGAGTTTTTTGTTTAACCACTGTGCGTGGTATCACAGACCACGGATCCAGAGTCGATTAAAAAACGAATATGTGTTGAGATCATTAATGTGTAAGCGGCTCTCCTTTCTTGGAACAGGAGAGTCGTCTGCGACGCTGGAACTTAATTTGCTATCGTCCTCCAGCGTGTTTGACGACAGCTCTACAAGTTTAACGCTTGAAATGATTGATAACGCGAGCAGCTTGGCAAGCACTTTCGTGCCATATCGCCGAATTTTCCATGATAAAAACAATGCGAGTCTGCCTGTTGATTCTGGTTTGTAGAACTGCGTGAGCCCGAGAATGGCTTGCTGTTTGTGAGCGTTTTACTTGGCTTTGCAAATCCTCGAATTTCTCATTAAGTTTGCGGATATTTAGGGTTAGCTCTTTACACACGGCTCACACGGCTTAATAATCGACGTCTGCTGGGCTCCTACGAAAAATATTTGCGAAGATCCTCCAGCTTCCAATATAGAATCAGCTATTTGCGCCAGTTTACTCAGATCTGTCTCTTGCCAAACCGTAAGCACCGGACGAATTGATTGCGGCATTTCTGCAAGAAATAAGGAATGAATTAGCTGTTCATTTTCTGGCCCTGGAGCCAGACGACGCATATGGGCCAGGATTTCAGTAGGCATTAAGCCTGACGTTTCGCCCCCATGCAGTAAACGGCGTAACTTCGATGCTGGCGACTCTGCATCCTTAAGTATTAGGCTTGTTTTAAGAGTATCAAATTTGTTGTGTATTTGGGGATTTGTAACCAACTCTTAAAAATCCAAGATTATATCTTCTTCCAGTTGCACTATTACAAGGTCAAATTTGTCAACATCATGGTGTATATCATGCAACCGAAACAGTCTCCCAACTTGAGCAAACCATAGGTTTGGGTAGTTGCGCGTGAATTTTGGCAATTGTATGTTAGTGCGTCCCTTAAATGCACGAGTTTCGTTGTAGTTACTAGCTTGATGAATGTGTTGATGCTGGAGATCGCGTATTTGAATTTTATAATCCTCTTTCATTTTCGTAGCTGTGCTCGTTCTCCATAAAAATTAATTTGCGTCTCGTGAGCGATCGTAAGTTATAACGAGTGTTGTTCATTCAATGCCAAATTGACGCTGGTCAAAACTTTTTAAATTGTCGGGGTCACCACTTTGGCTAATCCAATATTAGCCAAGAATTAGTTAATTAAGCTAGTTATCAAAACACTTAATTAAATCAATTAATATGCATTTTATAGTAACAATTTGAGTTTGACGCCATTAGTTTCAATAGAAGCCTCTTTTAGAATTGTTGATAATATTTTTTGCAATTTCCTATGAATATTATCAAAGTTAGCTGCGCCATCTATGAAATTGATTTTAAAATTATCTAGTGTCTTTTATTTCTGTGAGAATAGAAATGTGTACATATTGTTTTGTTCTGCGCATGACCTTTTTTGGTATCAGAAAAAAAAACACAAACTCGATCTGCCTAGGGCTTATGGGAATCTGGATACAGAGTTTGGTTATTCTAGCTCTTGTATCTTCTGAGATCCTTGCGCTCATACAGACGGACGGACAGACGGACATGGCTATATCGACTCGGCTTGTCACCCTGATTAAGAATATACACCTAGCCCTCGCTTAACGCGAGGGTTACGTTCCTTGAAAGCGTCGTGTTATTCAAATGGCAAAAGTTTTCAAAAGTAAAAAAATAACACATATATATTAAAATAAAATGGAAATTAATTTAGTGGCATTTATAGCAGCTTTAGTAATTAACATTTATATGGTGGCTCCCCTTGCGTGGCAACAAAATCTGTAATTTTCGACTGTTTAGTGGCTCTTAAGTCTTTCTATGTGCGCGTCTGAAGAAATAATGTTTTGCTCACCTTAGCAACTATTTATGAGTATGCACTCATTCTTACTCTGATGGTGTAGAAAGTGGAACTTCCCTTTTTACACACACATCTCATGTGTGGTGATACATACTATACCCAAAGATACTCATGCAATAATCGACAAAATAAAAAAATCGATTTTGTCAATCGCGTTAGAACGAGGTATTCCACCACGTTAAAAGAGAAAAGGTAGCAATTTTGCAATCGGAGCTAGCATTAAAAGAGTTAGCGTTAAGGGAGGGCTAGGTGTATACATTTTTATGTTGATAAGCAAAGTTAAAATTATTATACCCTGTACCTAGGATAAAAAGAGTATATTAGGTTTGTGTATGTATGTAACATGCAGAAGGAAGCATCTCCGACCCCATAAAGTATATATATTCTGAATCAGCATGACGAGAGAAAGGACGAGTTTATTTTATTTTTTTAGAATTACACCACCCCCCCCCCCCCAAAAAAAAAAAAAAAAAAACCAACCTGCCATATCATGCCAATAAAAAAGCATGGATGACTAGTGGGCTTTAGCAACGAATAATCACTCATCTCGATGGTGAAGTGAAAAAGCAAAATAGGAAAACATTGCTCTTTATTGACAATGCAACAAGCCACGTTAATGTTGAAAGCTGTACAAATATTAAATTTTGCTTTATTCCAACAAATACAACGGCTGTAATGCAACCTTTAGATCAATTAGACGTATATTGGTTAAACAACAACTGATCGCTGTAAACTGTGGCAAATCCATAATTTAATTTATGAAAGCTAAGTAGATGCCCTCCATTATGTAGACCAGGGATGGGATAGTGTTCAAAAGTCAACAATTCGTAATTATTATACCCTGTACCCAAAGGGTAAAAGGGTATATTAGTTTTGTGCGAGTGTACATGTAACACATAGAAGGAGGCGTGGAAGACCCCACAAAGTATATATATTCTTGATCAGGATGACAAGCAGAGTCGATATAGTCATGTCCGTCTGTCTGTTCGTTCGTCTGTCTGTATGAACGCAAGGATCTCAGTATATAAGTATATATAAGTATAAGGAAAGTATAAGAACTAGAATAACCAAACTTGGTATCCAGATTTACCTGAGCCCGAGGACGAGTTTGTTCATTTTTTCTGACTCACCCCCACTCCCCCCTATTCACGATTTTCTGTAACTCCCGTAATTCTTAGAATTTTGAACTAAAATTTGGTAGTCTCCAGTTAGTGATTATATATCTGTATACCAAGTTCATTATGATAGGTTGATTAGAAAGAAAGTTATAGCCATATAACCAAGCCCAAGCTGTGTCCGCAGGTGTATTTGTTGCATTTGCATAGACACGATTCTGATGTATATGTAAATGAATGTATGGAATTTTATTTTGTATTTTATATTTAATTTAATTAATTAATTAAATTTCTTTAATAAATTTTTTTTGTGGGGTGGTACTGGTATTTAAGAGTTGAGTCTGCTCGACTTTAGCATTCCTTTGTTGTTTTAACAATAAAATACATACATATATGTACATAACATATTAACATATTAACAATTACATAACATAACGTATTTCCTAACTTTTAATTATATTAGGTTTCATTGCATTTTCACGTTCGTGTCTTTTCGTGCTTTATTGTGTCAACACGAACACTCACGAAATTGGAAACACGGCACTCGTGTCCACGCAGTGCAGCCATGTGCCACGAACAATAAAAAGCACCGAATTTGCCCATCTCTGTGGTGTGGCAAGTAAAACAGCAAAACATACATATTTCTATATTTCGAATATACATAGTTATGTTGATTACGGATACAAAATTTGAAATCGATCGGACAACATTAATAACACAAACTTTTCATTTGAAAAATAGTGAATAAATATTAAAACCCCAATAATTCAGTCTCCAAGACAAATTTCAAAAAACCGAGTGAGAAGCTTTTTCGTATTCTTTTATAGATCACAAACCAAGTTGAAGTTTGAAGTTGATCGGTGGAAAACTGATGATTTTTCAAACAAACTTTGGTCCAAATAGTGGGTGATAGCCCGCATACCAGAAATCACATCTACAAATCTAAATATCTGTCACTCAGTCTGTTTCTGTTCAAACAGGGGACAACAGTCCAGTATAAATCTACCTTACGTACCTGTTTGTGGCATATAAAGCAGGTGGCATACATCTTTGAGTTCGATGGCGCCTTTGTTGATGTAACAGGGACTGATAACTTTTCCGTTAACGACAGCAAATTCGGCTCCGACTTAGCGCTGACCATGCTGCATGAGGCGGCGGCTGCTGCTGCAGCCACTGCTTCTCGTTGACAAGCGGCATATTGTTCTATGTGCTGCTGCAGCTTTGCTTGATCCTCGGGCGATATATAGGGTGAATGATTGTTGTGATGGTTTGCCATTGATGACGTATTTACGTTGTAACTGAGTGGTTTCGTATAATGGTGCTTTGCATTTGTGGAAGTGAAAGTCGATGAGGATTTGACCGGCTGTTGCAGAGAAAAGTGCGACTGGGCCATTGTAATTGGGGAGCTAGCCAAATTGGGCGTAGATTCGTTGGGTGACTGGCTGGTGATGCTGTTACTGTTACTAATATTGTTATTTATCCCTCGTAGACTCTCGACAATCTTGTCTATGCGTTTAACATCCTTCTGTTGTAGTTGTTGTGGAGCTTGGAGGGGGCTCGACCTCTCAGTTGCATTGCAAGACGGCACTGTCTTAAGGCGCTTCGCAGTATATAAATCCTCATTCTGAGACTCTTGGTATAGTTGGCACTGTTGCTGATATTTTGTCAGTAATTCATTTGTTCTGTCTAACGCCGTTTGCGAGAAGTTCAACGGTTGAGGCAGAAGGTTAGGATAGAGTTGTAGGGACTTAAGAAAAAGGTTCTCCAACGGTGTGCATCCGGTAAGTTTATTCCCTAGAAATGAACACGGGCTACTTAGTTGGGAAGTGGGCGCTACAGGCGTGGGTTGCCTGCTAGGGGTCTCTAAGTCTGCTGCCTTCTCGAAGTGCATCGTATCAACTGAATTGTCTTTCGTTTGCTTAGGTATCTAAAATAATGACAACAAAGTATATTTTTCTTATTGGACTTTAAATTTTATATCATTGCAAATGTAATCTTAAATTTAATCTTATGTGTACATATTTATACCCTGTACCCCTAGGGTAAAAAGGGTATATTATTATTGTGCAAAGTATGTAACATGCAGAAGGAAGCATCTCCGACCCCATAAAGTATATATATTCTGAATCAGCATGACGAGAGAAATCGATCTAGACATGTCCGTCCGCCTGTCCGTCTGTCCCTCTGGATGAACGCGAGGATCTCAGAAACTATAAAAGCTAGAATAATCAAAGTTGGCATCCAGATTCTCCTAGGTCCGAGTAAGGACGAGTTTATTTTATTTTTTTAATTTTCCCCCCCTTCCCACGCTACAGAATTTCGTCAATAGCGTCCACATTTCAAATGCTACCTAAACCTACCTACCTTTGCACACATAATTTATATATAATTGTCTACTGTTGTTTATTTATTCAATTCGATCAATTCTAAGAAAAGTTATTAGCAAACCAAATTCTCGCCAGTACAACCCCACCAAACTGCAGCAACAAGTTCGCTCTTCTTCTTCCTCTTTTTGCAGCTGCTATGGGCGCATATAACTCAGTGACAGAAGTTTACCTGGGTACAGGGTATTTCACTGTCGGGCTTGCTCGACGGTAGCGTTCTCTCTTGTTGTAACGTACAGCAGGTCGCAAAGTACACCCTTCGTATATCGTTTCATCGTGATATGCAAATTTTAAAGTTATCGCCATAAATATAAAATCAGCCAAAGCTCTGCCCGCAGCTTTTGCTGTTTTGACATACAGTGGCGAGCACATGTGGATATATGTTTATCACTTTTCGTCTATTATGCCTATAATCTTTAAAAATGCATCAGTCCTTGTACTTCTTTTTAAACCCTGTACCCAAAGGGTAAAAGGGTATATTAATTTTGTGCAAGTGTACATGTAACACACAGAAGGAGGCTTGGCAGACCCCACAAATTATATATTCTTGATCAGGAGGACAAGACGAGTCGATATAGCCATGTCCGTCTGTATGAACGCAAGGATCTCAGAAAGTTTAAGAGCTAGTATAACCAAACCTAGTATGTACATTCTCCGAAGTCCGAGAAAGGGCGAGTTTGTTTATTTCTTACGAGACACCTCCCCGCCCCCCCCCCCCCCCCCCACACCACCCCTCTATTCGCGATTTTCTCTAACCCACCCATTTCTTGGAATTTCGAATTCAAATTTGTTTGTCACATCCAGTTAGTGATTGTGTGTCCGTGTGCCGCGTTTCATTACGATATGTCTCTTATGAAGAAAGTTATAGCCATAAATATGTTCTCTGCCCAAACAAAGCACGCAGCTGTATTTGTTGCTGCTTTGACTTAATTATGTAATGCACACATACATATGTATGTACAAGTACGCAAACACGCATAGACACAATATTGATGTAAATTGAAATGAATATGTATAGCCTGTACCCAAAGGGTAAAAAGGTTTTGTGCGAATGTATGTAACATACAGAAGGAGGCGTGGCAGACCCCACAAAGTATACATGTATATATATTATTGATCAGGATGACAAGTCGAGTCGATATAACCATGTCCGTCTGTCCGCCTGTATGAACGCAAGGATCTCAGCAAGTACACGAGCAAGAATAACCAAACTTGGTATCCAGATTCTCCTAAGTCCGAGGAAGGGTGAGTTTGTTTTTATACCCTGTACCCAAAGGGTACAAGGGTATATTAGTTTTGTGCGAGTGAACATGGAGCACACAGAAGAAGGCTTGGTAGACCCCACAAAGTATATATATTCTTGATCAGCATGACAAGCCGAGTCGATATAGCCATGTCCGTCTGTTTGTCCGTCTGTCTGTATGAACGCAAGGATCTCCGAAAGTATAAGAGCTAGAATAACCAAACTACAGATTCTCCTGAGCCCGAGAAAGGACGAGTTTGTTCATTTTTTCTGATCCACCCCCCCACTCCCCCCTATTAACGATTTTCTATAACTCCCGTAATTTTTGGAATTTTGAACTAAAATTTGGTAGTCACATTAGGTTAATGATTATATATCCGTATACCAAGTTTCATTATGATAGAAAGATCGAAAAGAAAGTTATAGCCATATAACCAGACCCAATGCACACATACATACATACATATGTACAAGTACACAAACACGCATAAGGCACGATTCTGATTTAAATGTATGTATGCATGCATGGAATATTTTATATTTAATTTAGTTAATTAATTAAATTAATTTAGTTAATTAATTAAATTAAATTAATTAATTAATTTAATTACTTTTTTGTGGGGTGGTACAGGGTATTTAAGAGTTGAGCCTGCTCGACTTTAGCATTCCTTTCTTGTTTTTTCTTATACATCTCCCTCACCCGCTCCCCCACAGTTCATGTTTTTCATAACTCCTGTAATTCTTGGAATATATACATATATGTATTAAATAATTTGTATTTAATTTAATTAATATAATGTTTTTAAATTAATTAAAATTTTTTCACATTTTCCTATTTTGTGGTAGGTACAGGGTATTTAAGAGTTGAGCCTACTCGACTTTAGCATTCCTTTCTTGTTTATATTTAATTTAATGAATTAAACTATCTGTCCGTATGAACACCTGGATCTCAGAAACTACAAGACCTAGTGACACCAAGTTTGTTATATTTTTCCTTTACGTGAGTTCGAATACCGAGAGAGGTAAAATCGATCAACATTTTTATTTTTAATTTTCTTAATTTCTATAATTATTCTAAACATATGTACAGAGTATTTCAAAGTCACCCGACTTTAGCTTTTTTACTTGTTTTTAATTGGGTATTAGAAGGGTACCGATGGTTTACACTTACGTTATTGTTTTGAACATCGGCCAGGCCCTTAATGCCTAGCGTTTCGGCCAGACTCAACAGCATAGGTATCTGTTCCTCATAGACATTTACTTCTCCTGAGTACATGAACGAGAGCAGTGCAACGATGGCGTTGAAGTTGGCTCCCGGTATAATGATGACTGGATGGCTACTGGCATCCAACGCGCGAAAAATATCCATGAAAAAAGTGCTGCAGGCGCTGAGTATAACTCTATGAGCGCGCAACATTCGGCCTTCTGCAGAAATGGTCACATCGGTCAGATGCGACTGATCCAGCAACATGGGCAGCGTGCTCAGCAGGCTCGTCTGGAAAATAATAAGTATACTATATTTCTCAGCTGCCAAATGGGTCAGGCTAAATAAAAATATGTCTCCAAGCAAGCTGGCTAAATTTGTCCCCAGCCTTAGATAGCCCAGTCAGCGTTTCAAATATATATATATATATATTATGAAGAGTCACTTTCGGGGAAGATTATTATACTCTGTACATGAAATGTACAAGAGTATATTAGGTTTGCGCGAGCTGAAAATGTAACAGGCAGAAGGAGGCGTGTATATATATTCTTGATCAGCATGACGAGTCGATCTATGACTGTCTGTCTGTTTGTCCGTCCGTCTGTCCGTATGAACACCTAGATCTGAGACTATAAGAGCTAGAGACACCAAATTTTGCACAAAGATGCCTTATGTATATACGCTGTGCAAGTTTATTTTATTTTTTTGACCCCCCACTTCCCCCCTATGGGGGTTTTCCTGATTTGCCGTTCGTATAATCACCTATATCTCGGAGTCTATAAGACCTAGGGATACAAAGTTTTAGTCCAAGATACCTTATGTGAATATGATAAAAATGTGTATTTTAGAATTTCCCTTCCTCCCCCCTCTCCTCCGCAATCACTGATTTTCCATAACTCCTGTATGTCTTGCATTTTTTCATTGAAATCAGCAAATCTGCCCAGTAAGGAATTACAACTCCGTGTGCCAAGTTTCATTATAATAGGCCGATTAAACAGGAAGTTATAGCCATATATGTAATCTCAGGCCAAGCACTGCCTGCAGCTGTTGTAGTTGTTGCTTTTTGTACTGCTTTGCATTGCACTTCTGCTTTGCACTGCACTTCTGCTTTGCACTGCACTTCTGTTTTGCACTGCATATACTTTTTTTTTTAGCTATTATGATTATTCTATACTTATCTACAGAGTATTTCAAAGTCGGAAAACCCGACTTTAGCTTTTCTATTTGTTTGATTTGATTTTGATTATCATTTTGTTGCATTAGCTCTTGTTCTTGCTGCTGTTCATTCATATTCATATTTTTTTTAAAGAATAGATCCTGTGAGAACAAATAAAGTACGGGCGGATGTTTCTGACTTGGTATTACCAACCCTTACACTCACAGTATCAAGATCATTATATTATAAAATCTTACACAATCAGCTCGGTTTAATTGCAATTACCTGATGATTGTGCCAACGCAAGCAGAACTGCTGTTGGTTCTCATTTTGTAGTTGTTCCTCTAGTTGAGGGTGTGGCAGGTGATTAGTTTGTGCCGCGTTTCTTATATTCACATGTTCCATAATTGATTGCTTTTAATATGTCTATTTTAGTAGTTTTCTTAATAATCTTTAGAGACCTGTGTGAAGGCTGCAAGTTACACGTATATATGTATGTATTTAAAAAGCATTTCATTTAGCCCGGAAAAGAGAAGTGTCGCGTGCCGGTAACCACAAACGTCTTGCCGCACATGCTAAAATATTTTATGTTCATAATGAGTTTGTTTTCATTTCGATGATCTGCCGAACTTTTGTTTATTTATTCAGAAAGCTTGGCACACACTTGTTTCTTTTAAGAGTCGCGCTTGTTAAGAGCGACAATTTTCTCTTCGTATTATTTGGCAGTGCACTTGGACTATTATTATTCATTCGCGTGGTATGCTGAGTTGGCTACGCAGGCGAAATTGGATTTTAATTTCGTCATGTCATTATTATGAGAGAAGATGCGCCTTTTAACGATTGGATCATTACTAATACATACAATACATATAAAAAATAAAATGTATGTTTTCCTGCGGTTAACTTTGCTGACGAATTCAAAGAGCAGTTTAAAATAAATGTCTCAAGGTAACTTCTATAATTTGAATTGCATAAAATAAGTGAGGGAGTGAAATTCTAAAATATATACAGACATATGTGTTACGCACACTTAAACAAACCAGCTTCTTCACGACAAATTGGAAGAGAAACCTTGTCAAGTATATTGTTGCCTGTGGATGCAATTAAATAAAACTTTTTTAAAAGAAATAAATTTTGTTGCATACCAGTGCCTGCCTGGCTAGCTGGCTTGCTCTGCTTGAGCGCCTGTAAAACAATTGCAGTTTTGTAGTTGTTGTTGTTATTAGCTCGTAGCTGGGTTTCTGGGTTTCCATTGTTTTGGCAAGTGAACTATGCATGCATATACACACGTATGTGGGTACACACGGCTGTATATTTGGTAAACGCCCCTTAATTTTGTTCGCGCGTTTATTTTTATACCATTAGCATGCAAAGAAATTGTGTGAAAATTTAAGATGCAACCCATTGGAGGTCTCCCAGAGTGACAAGTCGTCGGTCGCCTGGTACCCAACGTGTAGCTGCTGTTTTTGTCTGCCTCACGACGGAATTTTCTTCATTCCATTATTTGCACGATAGAATCACATCCATGTGTTTTTCTATTAGAGGCAGTGCTGTTGTTTTGGCGCTCGTTCATACAAAGTCTAAGTGCCTTGCCTTCGCCTGTCCTACTGTAACTCTTTGATATTTTCGGATGTTATTTGATTTTCCGAAATAAGTTCTTCAGAGCGTTGGCTCTGATTGCTTGATTGTTATTTTTAAAAATCTGTCGCCAATAAGAATGGCGAAGAGCACGAGCAAGAGCATCTCCCGATGTTCGTTAGTCTAAAATTTGTTGTTTGAGTCCTCAAAACAAAAATTTCATCATCAAAGTCATCGGAATGCTTTGATACGTAATAATCACATAATCACTCATTTGATTCCAGATCGATTCCAAGATTGGCGCAACTGGATTAAGGGAAAACCTTTTGAGTATATTTCTTTAATGTTTTTGTACATATGTTAATGACCATAAAAGTGCACTCTCACAAATGTTACGTCTTCCTCACCCGACATTCCTCAAGCGACATTCCATTTTCAAATACATTAGTATAATTTTGTATATTGTTTTCGTCGGCAAGGGCCCACACGTGCCAATAAGTTCAGAAATAATCCAGCAGCCCAGAACGGGTGTCAGCTGTGCTATTAATAGACCACAAATGGCGAAGGGCTTTGCGCTGGAATACAGTATAAAAATTCGATTTGACTATTAAAGGACCGTCGGGCTTAGCTTTAAGCCACTGCGAGCTCAGATTGCAACAACTTTTGAAAATTTATATTATTATTTTCGTATACTAACAGATTTGTTTTTAGCGCAGCCACGCTTTTTGTTCCCGATTGCTTTACGTGAACATCTTTAGAATTTTCGCGAATTTTATTATTGTTTTATATTATCATAGTATACTCAAGTTTGTTTTCAATGTTATGTTAGTGACGTTTTTTTAGCGTTAACTTTTGTTTTTGTTTATCTATTTATAAATAATTTACTTGAAAATTTCCTCTAAAAATTTAAAGAACTTCAACACGGGCGTTTTCATTACGCGTGATTTCCGTGCACCTTTGTTACCCGTTTGCTCGCATCTAAATGAAAAAATCCGAACTTTCGGTTTAGTTGGAGATTTTTCGAATGTCCATCTCTTGACAATTTTTGTGGTTGCCTTTAGCCGCCGCTGCTGCCATTTGTTTTTCTGATTTGATTTGCTAGCGCGCGCTGTCGTCGTCGCCACTATTCGCTTGATTATTGCGCTCTAATTCTAATCAGCCCCAGACTCTTTGGCACGACGGATGTGTTAGTGTGTATTTTTTGGTTCCATGTTCAGCAAAAAATACATTTTCTAATTAGTGAGCAATTTGCTGGCCAACAGAAGACTAAGAGAAATTTGTATAATTTAACACTAAAAGTTGCTCTTGACTAATAAGAAAGCTTCAAGATGATTTAGTTATTCAAAAATTTGTCTTCGCTGGGATAGTTAAGTGCTGAGCTAAACGCATTTATTGGCATAAACATTTAAACGCACATGACATATCTATCAATATTATATTACCGAGTTACAAGGCGTGGCAGTCCCCACAAAGTATATATACTTATTTTTGATCAGTATGGCACGACGAGTCATGGGCGTAGGCAGGATTTAGTCCAGGGGGGGAAAGATTTTTTTGGCTAATTTTTTACAATCAAATTATTTGCACTATACAAAAAACACATGAAAAATATGGAACAAGAAAGGAATGCTAAAGTCGAGCAGGCTCAACTCTTGAATACCCTGTACCACCCCACAAAAAAGTAATTAAATTAATTAATTAATTTAATTTAATTAATTAACTACATTAATTTAATTAATTAACTAAATTAAATATAAAATATTCCATGCATGCATACATACATTTAAATCAGAATCGTGCCTTATGCGTGTTTGTGTACTTGTACATATGTATGTATGTGTGCATTGGGCCTGGTTATATGGCTATAACTTTCTTTCCGATCATTGAAACTTGGTATATGGATATATAATCACTAACCTAATGTGACTACCAAATTTTAGTTTAAAATTCCAAGAATTACGGGAGTTATAGAAAATCGCTAATAAGGGGGAGTGGGGGGGTGTATCAGAAAAAATGAACAAACTCGTCCTTTCTCGGGCTCAGGAGAATCTGTATACCAAGTTTGGTTATTCTAGCTCTTATACTTTCGGAGATCCTTGCGTTCATACATACAGACGGACATGGCTATATCGATTCGGCTTGTCATGCTGATCAAGAATATATATACTTTGTGGGGTCTACCAAGCCTATGTGAGTGTATGTATGCCTATGCGCATCTATTCGTGTCTGTGTAAACATGTGTGCAGTCAACCAAAGCACCAGCATCAACAACAGCCGCGGGCAGCGCTTGAGCAGCGCTGCAGCAGCGCTGCATCAGCAAATATATTTATGGCTATAACTTCTTGTTAAATCGGTCTATCATAATGAAATTTGGCATACGGACACATAATAACTTACTGGGGGTATTTGCATTTTAGTTCGAAATTCCAAGAATTACGGGAGTTAGAGAAATTCGCGATTTGCGGGGGAGAGGGGCGAGGTACTGAAATTCAAAAAAACACATTTTCTGCGTATTCACATAAGGCACCTTGGACTTTAAATATCCCTAGGTCTTATAGTCTCCGAGATATAGACGATAATACGAATGGAAAATCGGGAAAACCCCCATAGGGGGAAGTGGAGGGAAAATAAAAAAAATAAAACAAACTTACACAGCGTACACACATAAGGCATCTTTGTGCAAAGTTTGGTGTCTCTACCTCTTATAGTCTCTGAGATCCAGGTGTACGGACAGACGGACAGAGAGACAGAGACATGACTCGTCTCGTCATGCTGATCAAGAATAAATATACTTTGTGGGGTCTGCCACGCCTCCTTCTGCCTGTTACATTTTTCAGCTCCCGCAAACCTAATATACTTCTGTACATTTCATGTACATTTCATGTGTATAAATATTACAGAAGTGTCCCAAATGTTAATGGCAGCCATTGGGAATAGCCCCGAACGGAATAATAAGAACCCAAAGCCCGGTAAGTTTCTATGCTTAGCAAAATTAAGCACAATACGTCACATATATTACTCTAACTTACATATTCTCATTAGGCGAATAAAATAAAATGCTAATTGAATTTTTAAAATTTTTTTTTTTTGCGGGTGAACTTTATGAGTAAGATAATTATGCACAAGACATTGAAAATGAAGGTACAATATTGAAATTTTTAGATAATTGAATTGTGTATGTATGTGACTGGGTGCATATATGTTATACATAGTATATCGCTTAGGGACCGGATCAAGCTCTTGGCCATTGATTTTGAGTGAGTTTGGTGTCTCTACCTCTTATAGTCTCTGAGATCAAGGTGTTCATACGGACAGACTGACAGACATACAGACGGACAGACGGACAGACAGACAGACAGGACTAGATCGATATATATACTTTGTGGGGTCTGCCACGCCTCCTTCTGTGTGTTACATACATTCGCACAAAACTAATATAGCCATTTACCCTTTGGGTACAGGCTATAAAAATGACATTCCTAATAAATATGAAATATGAAATTAATATAATAGGTCGACCAAGATTCCAATCATAGATTCAGTCAAAAATTTACAGTTTAACAAAGCGGAGTACATGCATACATATGTATGCACATACATTACATGTAACTGGTGAACAAATGCAAAAGATTGGCTTTTGCTAAGGAGTATAAAATTAAGTATAAAATTAATAACAGAGTCGTAGAGTTTCAGTAGAATTCAATATACATACAACAATTAGGTAATACATTTGTGCAGTACAGAGTTGAGCCAAAGCAGCACTAAATGGTAATTTAAGTTAAAAATTCTAAAAATTACGGGAGTTATGGAAAATTGCTAATAGCTGGGAAGCGGGGGGATCTATAAAAAACATCCTTTCTTGTTTCTAGACTCAACTCTTAATAAAAACAAGAGAGAACGCTACAGTCGAGCAAGCCCGACAGTGTAATACCCTGTACCCAGGTAATTTTCCGTCACTGAGTTATATGCGCCCATAGCAGCAGCAAAAAGAGGAAGAAGAAGAGCGAACTTGTTGCTGCAGTTTGGGGAGGTTGTACTGGAGAGAATTTGTTTCGCTAATAACTTTTCTTAGAATTGACCGAATTGAATAAAATTTTGAACAACAATTAGACAATTATATATAAATTATGTGTGCAAAGTTTGGTTTAGCATTGAAAGCATTTGAAATGTGGACGCTATTGACGAAATTCTGTAGCGGGGGAAGGGGGGGGAAAATTCCAAAAAATAAAATAAACTCGTCCTTTCTCGGACCTAGGAGAATCTGGATGCCAACTTTGGTTATTCTAGCTTTTATAGTTTCTGAGATCCTCGCGTTCATCCAGACGGACAGACGGACAGACGGACGGACGGACGGACATGTCTAGATCGATTTCTCTCGTCATGCTGATTCAGAATATATATACTTTATGGGGTCGGAGATGCTTCCTTCTGTATGTTACATACTTTGCACAAACCTAATATACCCTTTTTACCCTACGGGTACGGGTAAAAATAAATTATAAATACAAATAATTAATTTAACTTCCTTTTAAATTGAGCTATCAAGAAGAAATGTGGCATAGGGGCAAATAATCTCTAACGTACTTATTTATTTTATATATTTATTTATTTAGGAGAATCTGGATACCAACTTTGGTTATTCTTGTTCTTGTACTTGCTGAGATCCTTGCGTTCCAACAGACGGACAGACGGATAGATAGACATGGATATATCGACTCGTCTTGTCACCCTGTAGCGGTTCAGCAGAAGGAGTTCTGTGTGTTGCATACTACAATCGCACAAAACTAGTATAAATTCGGTCAGTGTTTATTGTTGCTTCGTTATTGTTGTTTCGTTGTCCGGTCGCGAAATTGCTTATAAGAGTATGTAGCTCTATAATCACAGCATGTGAGTGGTGCTTTCGCTGTTGCAGGGACTGCCAGAAAAATTTATATGTACATATATACATACATACATGCTCATCGCCTTGTGTTGTTCTGCTTATTGCAAAATAATTGTGTACTACATACAGTCTATGCCGGGCAGATTATTAATTTGCAATGAACATCAAATCGACAAAGTTACAAAAATAAATCTGACCAGAAAAGCCGATGATTTATAATGACACGCCAGACAAGTACATACATACGGTAACGAATGGAGACGGAGGTCGGCTGCTGGCCCGTTTTCTTTGGACCTATTTGTAGCTTATGTACATACGAACCAGAGAACTGCAACGAGTACTAAATTTTCGGTCATACTCGAGTATTTACCCATACTAGGTACAAGTATGATTATTTCATTTGGGTATAGTGACAAGCAATGACTGCTTGCGAACGAGCCCTCAACGAACACTCAGTTCGAATCAAAACTGCAAAAACTCAGAAGTGAGCGGTTGTAACCGAAACTTCTTGCATGAATGCAAGCAATGGTTGGTTTTAAACGAACCCTCACCAACCAGTCAGTTCGACTCACAACTGCAAAGACTCAGAATGAGCGGCGGTGACCGAAACTTTTTGCCTGCGTGTATAAAATGATCGAACGTCGTATTTAAATCATGCCCGTATGACCGAAATGACTTGCACTTGCATTTTCTATTGTTTTTTCGGCTATTAGTTCAATAATAACTTCATACACAAGTACAAGTATATGCATAAAAATTAAGATTCCAACAAAACTATTAGCGAAAAGAAATACCTTCCTTTTAATTTAAATTAAAAATAATTATGCTATTTTAATTTATATTAATTTGTTTACTTTAAGATATTTGAGGGTAAAAAGGGTATATTAGGTTTGTGCAAGGTATGTAACATGCAGAAGGAGGCATCTCCGACCCCATAAAGTATATACTATATTCTAGACATGTCCGTCCGTCCGTCTGTCCGTCTGGATGAACGCAAGGATCTCAGAAACTAAGCTGGAACAACCAAAGTTGGTATCCAGATTCTCCTACGTCCGAGAAAGGACGAGTTTATTTTATTTTTTGGAATATATAATTATCTACTGTTGTTTAAAGTTAAGTTATTAGCGAAACAAATTCTCTCCAGTACAACCCCCACAAACTGCAGCATCAAGTTCGCTCTCCTTCTTCCTCTTTTTGCTTCTGCTATGGGTGCAGGGTATTTCACTGTCGGGCTTGCCCGACTGTAGCGTTCTTTTTTGTTTAAGAAATAAAATCATGCTGAATATCATAATATACAAATAAATAAATATGTTTTGTTTTCATTCTGTGCCTCTTTATTTAAAATATACACAACATATGTACATGTTTGCGCATAATTGCAAACAACACATGCACTTACAAATACATAAATATGTACATACATGCATTTTTTATACGGTCATCCTCGGGTAAAACCTGCGCAATACTCGAGTAATAAGCTATACTCGGCTATACCCAAACAATACTCGACCAATTACGGCACTATACTCGTTCGATCAAACGCTCATTCTGCAAAGTCTGGTTTGTTTAGATCAAGACCCAGTCATCTTAAAACAAGAAAGGAATGCTAAAGTCGAGCAGGCTCAACTCTTAAATACCCTGTACCACCCCACAAAAAAGTAATTAAATTAATTAATTAATTTAATTAAATTAATTAACTAAATTAATTTAATTAATTAACTAAATATTAACTAATTAAATATAAAATATTCCATGCATGCATACATACATTTACAATTACATCAGAATCGTGTCTATGCGTGTTTGTGTACTTGTACATATGTATGTATGTGTGCATTGAGCCTGGTTATATGGCTATAACTTTCTTTCCGATCATTCTATCATAATGAGACTTGGTATACGGTTATATAATTACTAACCTAATGTGACTACCAAATTTTAGTTCAAAATTCCAAGAATTACGGGAGTTATAGAAAATCGTTAATAGGTTGGAGTGGGGGGGTGGATCAGAAAAAATGAACAAACTCGCCCTTTCTCGGTCTCAGGAGAATCTGTATACCAAGTTTGGTTATTCTAGCTCTTATACTTTCGGAGATCCTTGCGTTCATACAGACAGACAGACGGACAGACAGACGGACAGACGGACATGGCTATATCGACTCGGCTTGTCATGCTGATCAAGAATATATATACTTTGTGGGGTCTACCAAGCCTCCTTCTGTGTGTTCCATGTGCACTCGCACTAAACTAATATACCCTTGTACCCTTTGGGTACAGGGTATAATAAGTGACCGAGTCTGAAGTGTTTGAAAGCAAACCAATCAAGGCTGGTACCCGTTCGCAACGAACAGAATACTCGAAGTGACCCAGCCTGAACTGTTTGAAAGCAAACCAATCAAGACCGGTGCTTGTTCGTAAAAATAGAAAGATTGGTCATGCAAGTTCGATCATAAGAAAAATGCTGAGAGTACTCAACTCGTTCGAGCTCGTTTGCAGCCAAACAAAGATCTGATTTGATTGAATTTTCAGCAAGGGTGCTCGAACATACTCATTGCAGTTCTCTGATACAAACTCAATTTATATACAAGAAATATTTATTACTCATCCCCCAACAAGCAAGATTTATCTTTTATAAAACTATTTAAAACATTGTGCTTCGCCGATGGGCCGGCACTGTTCCGCCGTATAGTCCCATCCGAAGCTGTAAGGACAGCGCACTATGGTGAGGTAGCCACTAATACAGCGGTAATAGTATTCACATCGCTCAGGATGTGCCTGGTAGCTATCGCCGGAGACGTTACACTGCGGCCGCCCAGTTGATGCCGTCGTTGTCACTACAATCGTTGACACCTGTTCCATGTTTAATTCGCCATCACTGCTGATTTCTGTCGCCTGTGTAGTTGTATTTTTTTTGCTTCTCATGCACAAGCCTTCATCGTCGAATGCACACTCCTGAGCTTGCGCGTCAAAATACGTTTGATCGGGGCAACTGTCACGAAAGGAGTCATCGCCGTTACAGTATACGTAAGCCGCACAATCGTCCGGTATCATTAAAAAGGTGTTTAATTCTACCTCGTCGCACTGAGAATAATAATCGGCTTTGCTTTTTAAAGATACACCTAAAACAAGTAACAATGACAGAGTTTTGCGTAGCGGGAGCATCTTGATGTTCTTTAAATTTGAGCTCTTATTGCAAGTTGCTGTGAAAATGTTGCTATGTGCTTTTATACTACTACCTCTACAGTGGGTTTCAGGGTCTATATTGTTGTTTATCTGGCCCCAAGAATATCGATGCCTTATCAACTACATGTTTAGGCAGCATATACATAATTGATAAATATTGCGCTGAAATTGTGTCAATGCCATTCATTAACAGATTGTTATTTAAAACGACAATATTGGAAATCTATAACTTTGCAAATGTTATATGTGTACCCTATACCCACTCCTTAAAAAATAACAAGAAAGAAATGCTAGAGTTGGGGCGGGCACTACTCTTAAATACAGTAGGGTACAGGGTACCCACTCCAAAATATAAAACAAACATTTTTAATTTAACATATTTAAAAATTAATTTTAAAAAATTAAATTAATTCAATAAAGATTGTTCAATACATACATACATACATAAGTGGAACATATTTGTGAAGTACAGAATTAAGTCAACAAAGATATTAAGACAAAAACAGCTGCGGGCAGAGCTTAGTCGGAGATCACATTAATGGCTATAACTTTATTTCTAATTGATCTGTCATAACGAAACTTTATATACGGACACATAACCACTAACTATGGTGACTACCATATTTGAGTTAAAAATTCCATGAATTAGGTGCGTTATAAAAATTTGTGAGTGGCAGGGGAGTGGGGGCATCAGAAAACAAGTAAAAAAGCTAAAGACGGGTGTTCCGACTTTGAAATACTCTGTACATATGTTTAGAATAATTATAGAAATTAAAAAAATTGAGAGAATTAAACAAAAAATTTCGATCGATTTTACCTCTCTTGGTATTCGAACTCACGTAAAGGGTGTATAATTGCACATTTACATAGCAATTACGTCTATGTGAGTGTATAAATGTCTATGCGCGTTTAATCGTGTCTGTGTAAGCATGTTTTCAGTCCACCAAAGCACCAGCATCAACAACAGCTGCGGGCAGCGCTGGAGCAGCAAATATATTTATGGCTTTAACTTCTTGTTAAATCGGTCTATCATAGTGAAACTTGAAATACGGACAAATAATAACTTACTGGGGTATTTGCAAAATTTTAGTTCGAAATTCCAAGAATTACGGGAGTTACGATTTTCGGGGTAGAGGGGGGAGGGAGGGAAATTCCAAAATATACATTTTCTGCGAACTCACATAAGGCATCTTGCACTAAAATTTGGTGCCCCTAGGTCTTATAGTCTCCGAGATATAGGCGATTATACGAATGAAAAATTGGGAAAACCACCATAGGGGGAAGTGGGGGAAAATCAAAAAAATGAAACAATCTTGCACAGCGTACACACATAACTCATCTTTGTGCAACATTTTGTGTCTCTAGCTCTTATAGTCTCTAAGATCCAGGTGTTCATACGGACAGACAGACGGGGAGACATAGATCGACTCGTCTTGTCATGCTGATCAAGAATATATATACTTTGTGGGGTCTGCCACGCCTCCTTCTGCCTGTTATATTTTTCAGCTCCCGCAAACCTAATATACTCTTGTACATTTCTTGTACAGAGTATAAAAACACAAACTCGTACTTTCTCAGGCTTATTATACCCTGTACCCGTAGGGTATTATTAAAGTATATATATTCTGAATCAGCATGACGAGAGAAATCGATCTAGACATGCCTGTCTTTACCGCAATTATTGATTTTCCATAACTCCCGTATTTCTTGGAATTTTTCAAATTTAAAGAATACTTCCAGTGAGTTATTATGAGTCCGTATGCCAAGTTTCATTATGATAGGTCGATTTAACAGGAAGTTATACATACACAGACACACACAAAAAGGTGTGTTCCAAAATAAACAGGACTTTCTTAAAAAAAAAACAAAACAAATGGTTTTTTCGACAAAATCAATTTATTTTATTCAAAATAGTCTCCTTCTGCTTCAATACAGCTTTTTGCACGATCCAAAAGCATGTCGGACGAGTGTTTTAGCTCGTTGACCGGTATGGCCGCCAGTATGCCGGTGCAAGCCTTTTGAATGGCCTCTACGTATGCATAACGCTTTCCTTTCATGGGCAAATGCATTTTTCCGAAAAGGTAGAACTCGCACGGTGCTATATCAGGTGAATACGGCGAGTGGTTAATGGTTAAAATGTGATTTTTGGTCAAATAATCGGTCACAAGCGTCGATCGTCATTTATGTCCTCACGACCACAACCACTCGTGCAGTCTGCTACGGGATAGGCAATCATCGCCATAAACTTGTTCCATCAATTGAAATGTTTCGGTAAAAGTTTTACCAATTTTAAAATAAAATTTAATGTTGACTCTTTGTTCGAAGCTCATTTTCGCACCGATAACACAAACATACTGACACTTAAAACGCAATAACTTCACTTCCAATCGATGAAATGTCATGAAATTCTCACTGCATAATCGATAAAGATAGCAGATTCTAACGCACCAGTCGATATATAGATAGGGGGCACTAGATTCAAAAAGTCCTGTTTACTTTGGAACGCACCTTGTATTTCAAAGTCGGGACACCCGACTTTAGCTTTTTTATTTGTTGCTACTGCACTTGTATGTATGTATCAGAGAACTGCAACATGTATGTTCGAGCACCCTTGCTGAAAATTCAATCAAATCAGATCTTTGCTTGGCTGCAAACGAGCTCGAACGAGTTGAGTAGTCTCAGCATTTTTCTTATGATCGAACTTGCATGACCAATCTTTCTATTTTTACGAACAAGCACCGGTCTTGATTGGTTTGCATTCGAACAGTTCAGACTGGGTCACTTCAAGTATTCTGCTCGTTGCGAACGGGTACCAGCCTTGATTGGTTTGCTTTCAAACACTTCAGGCTCGGTCACTTCGTTTAAGATGACTGGGTCCTGATCTAAACAAACCAGGCTTTGCAGAATGAGCGTTTGATCGAACGAGTATAGTGCCGTTATTGGTCGAGTATTGTTTGGGTATTGCGCGAGCTATACTCAGGTATTACTCGAGTATGTCTCGAGTATTGCGTATTATTATGACGCACTATTTCGCCTTAAAATGGATCTGAGTTGGATTTGTTGAAGTTTCTTCATTGCATAAATCATTTTTTAAATGCATCGTACATTATTTAATCAAAATATTAATCTTTTTATATGTGTACACCAGCAGGTCTTACCGGTCTTTGCTGGCTCAGTATTTGTGTTTACAATTATACGTTTATTTACTATATGATATTTCTCTTCCGACATTCTCTAAAGTTTCTAAAGAGTTCATTTCCCAAACAGTAAATTGCTTTGGTACGATTCGAGAGTTAGGACATAAAGTACAATAAATACTATGTATGGTTATATGTACATACATACATATGTATGTATATTTATGTATTTATATAGTACTAGCAGGTATTGCCCGTCTTAACCCGGCTCAATATAATGTTTCCAATTGTATTTATTTTGTGTGTGCATAACCTACCCACATGTTTTCACCTTATAAGTTACCAGTAGGAAGGCATTTAAGGTATTTAAATGAACATTCTGTTCTTGACAAAAAATTGTTCAGTAGTCCGTTACATTTTTGTTCTTGCCAAACTATTTCGTTCAACGAACATGACCACTATAACTAATATTTTTTAAAGCTCGTTTTCCCCCCTTTGGAGCTAGAAAAAAGCCTTTCTTAGTGTGCTCCTACACTATGATGGATACTATGAAAGGATACTTGAGTCCAAATTTCATATTTTACCGTTTGGGCTGTGCGTTGATCACCAATTAGTCAGGACAAACTGTTTTATATATAGAGATAACGCAACGTTTTAAGATAGACTATGTGCAAAAAAGGAGAATAATTATAAGGGTTTATCCTAATTTTAAAATAACATTTGAGTCTTTTGTGCCATATTGAGTCAATACGGTCACGCACAAACTCGGAATATGAAACACGGCACTCGTGTCAATGCCGTGCAACGATGAGCCACGATCAAAAAGCACTAACAATTCTCATCTCAATTTGCTAGAGTAAAACTTTCGATAGTTGAAGCCACCGATACCATCAAAATATCGAAGTTTGAATGCAATAAGCAGAATATTTAAATAACAAAATCTAATTATTTATTGACATCAATAAGAACAAATCATATACATACATACATACATCTGCCCGCAATGCGAAGCAGAATATACGTAGCTCCGTTATTCGGTTTCTGCTTTACTATCGCTTACGCAGTCGTTGCCTAGCGACGGTAACTGTTAACTTTTGGCGTTTTGCCTTTGCAATTAACATTAAATGGTCACAACGAAAGAAGAAGAGCGAGCCAACAACTTGAAGTTGTTGTTGTTGTTTTGTATGTACATGCTACATACATATACAGGCATACATACATATGCTTGTACATATGTATGTATGCATGGGCACACATAGACACGAACTGTTGCTTGTTGTATGTATGTGTGAGTGTGTGTATGGGATGTCCCCAACTATTTGATATTTGATATACATATGGCAAGTAAAAAACATATTGCTTACTTAGTTGTCCCCAACTGTTTGATATTTGTATTGTTTGTTCTACCTGCATTTGTAAAATGCATATTTTAAAAATCGTTAAATGCAAAGTTGTAACTTTAATTACGTAGATTATATTACCCAAATTTGAAATCGATCGGACAAAATTTATAACACAAACTTTTCATTTGAAAAAATGAATAAATATTAAAACCCCAATAATTCAAGCTCCAACACAAATTTTGAAAAACCGAGTATGCAGTTTTATTTGTATTCTTTTATAGATTATAAAACCTAAATTTAAAGTTGATCAATTCAAAAATGCAGAATTTTCAAACAAACTTTGGAGCTACTTTTCCCCCCTTTGGAGCTCGAATTTTCCAAAATCCCTTCTTAGTGCGCATCTACACCATGATAGGATACTTGAGCCCAAATTTCAGTTTCCTAGCTTTTACCGTTTGGGCTGTGGGGTGTTGATTGTGTTTCAATTTTTCCACGGAAA